CGGTAAGGGCCTTGGGTGGTGTGGAAGATGTTTTCTTCTCCGGCTCAACGGGTGTTTTACAATGGTCACATAAAACCTTTGGTCCATGAGAATCGTCGGTATTTGACCGCGGCGTAGGCTCGCAGACAGGTGGTCCCGATTGCTCCGTGGGTGGCGTATTCGAAAAGAGATCAATTTTTAGCCTTGTTCGACCATTCCCTTTATGGATATGCTGTATTGGGACGTATTCGGCCTTTCCTTTGTTTTTTGGAATATGAGCATCCACCATACCAATCGTTGTTGACGGGAAGGGATTGACGTCGACCGCCATCTGCTTTTCTGGAAATTTCAACTTTCCTTTCTCGATCCAACCTTGGATTGTATCCCGGAATACGACACAATTATTGGTTGCATGCTTATTAGAGTTGTGATACTTGCAGTATACCTTTCCCTTCAACTCATCGGCCTTAGGGATAATATGTCCTGGCCGAAGCTTGATGATCTTTGCCGCCAATAACTGATCAAAAATTGCATCGGCCTTGGTAATGTCGAAAGTATAGACTTTCGAAGACTTATTCATTTCCTCGACGGCCGAATGGGCTTTGGTGTCTTTGCCATTTACTTGAGCCAGAGCCTTGCAGACGTACGGCTTGTCTATGACTATTTCGGCCGCATCCACACTAACACACTGATGGTCCCCGCTTTCGGCAGAGGCATAGCTAACCGTGGGGTTTTTGTACAACGTACCCCGTGAAGGCGATTTTGATATCTTTTCTTCTCGGAGCAGATAATCGTACTGTTCGACGTGTTGAGCAAGTTCGTACATATCGCGAATGTTTGCCCCCAAGAACTTCTTTTTGTACTCCACGTCTAATCCGTTGAGGGCAATCCTGACGAATTCCACTTCGGGGAGTGGTACTCGGCACCAATTCCTGGCCGACTTGAACCTTGTTAGATACTCCATTGGAGATTCGTCGGATGCTTGAGCCATCCTGGCCAAGGACGATACGGACATTTCCATCCCTGGCCGATAGAATTGTTCATGGAATTTTTCGACCAACTCTTCCCAACTCTGCACAGAATTGGGTGGGAGATTAATGTACCAAGCGAAGGCGGAGCCTGTTAATGAAAAATTGAACAAACGCAGTTTGTAGAAGTCGTTATTGACGTCCCCACACTGCGCTGTGAAACGAGCTACATGCTCTAATGAGGACAAAGACGATTCCCCGGCGAAGAGGCTGAAATCAGGGATCTTGAACCCTCGTGGGTATTCGAACCTTTCTACGTAAGCTGGGTATGGATGAATGAACTTTGGAAACTTCGGCCCTTTCTTCAAGGCCGAATCGATCATTCTCTGGACCTCGGTCATGTTCACGGAAGCGGCTTCTTCTCCCTGGCTTGGTCCCTCGGATCTATTTCCTGGTCCTCTTTCTAAGGTGACTGGTTGCGGTCGAGCGGACGCTCTATCGGCTGGTATGGGCACGTTCGTCGAGAGCTGCCGTGGTTGGCCGACCTGGCCATCTTCGAAGGCTTTACTAACTAATATTTCAAGCATTCTGGTCTGTGTATCGTTGTTACTTCGTATTGCCTCTAGCAAATCATTCATCTTTTGACCAATCGACTGCTCGACCTGTCGATACTGCTCATCAAGTCGTCTCCGAAGAAACGACCTAGTTGGTGGATCAGAGCCTTCTCCACCATCGTCGTCGCAGTCTTCCACTATCCCCTCCACGAATATGGGCGTCGTTTGATTCGGGATCGCCGCGTTGTGAGGTTGCCCACCGAGACAGATCTCATTCTCTCGGCGGGTCACACTTATAGCCTCGGGTGGCAAAGCAATGACCGGATTTTTTGCTGGGTGCGAATCCTGCCCAAGGCCTTGCACTGGTAAGTCAGCTGTTGACTTTCCCATGTTTATTTTCTTCTTGGTAGACCGTGTCTCTACGGTCATGAACTCCGAAGGTTTAGCACAATGGTCCCACTGGGCGTGCCAAAATGTTGACTACAAAAATTACAAAACCTACGTGGCACGCAGGCCAAATAACTAATGAGCTAACTAATGTCCTTCGGTTGAATGCAGGGCGTGCCAACTCGTCGGCCGAGCTCGGCCGAGGAGTAAAATTTGATGCGGTCGCGTTGAGCGCGCTGTTGACTTCTGTATCTTGCGATTGCGACCGAGGAAGGAACGCTCTCGGTCTCTGGATTCTATAGCCTGAAGACAAGGCTACTAATTCTACGGAGTTCACAACTCGTCGAAGCCTGATTCGGCCACTGTGATTATATTCGTAAGAGTATAAGCACGCCGAATTGAGACCAAACTATACGGGCACAGGTACTCGAATGTGATGTATGTCTTGATGGTGAACGTAGTTCGGCCGTCGGAATGCCGAACCCTGAAACTTACTCGTGAGTATCCAATCATAAACTCACTCGGCCTCCAATGCGCCGAGCAAGGCAATCCGTAACACCCAACTATGCCGAAACGGCTTAGTAAGATGACCTCTACCAACAAAGGTTCGAAAACCTTCCTCGGCCGAGACTTAGATAGGTAATCGGTCGACCTCGACGCAGTGCTGTTTGTCCAAACTGAAGGTGTGTCTTGGTCGGCTGATTCTGCGGCAGCAGTGCTGTTTATCCAAACTGAAGGTGCTCACCGGTTGCTTCCACAGTGCTGTTTATCCAAACTGAAGGTGTGTCGGCGGGAAAAGAAAAGGAAAAAATCTCAAGGTGTTTGAGAGAATTTGCGCAGGGCAATTGTATGCTGATGTTGAAGGGGCTTTTCTATTGCGTAATTTCTTGTATTTATAGCACCTCGCTCCTTGATTCCCATTCTGATTTGGATTGGGAGTCCTTGTCCCATCTCACCTTTAATTCAAACAATCCCAGTCCTATTGGGATTCTGAATTCTCCTACTTTTGAGGTTTTACCCCTTGCCGGTCGAGAATCCTGGTTGCATCAGGATTTCCTCGACCTTTCCTCGTTTATCTGGACTACTTAAGATAGGATCTAGCCGACCCTGCCAACTGGTCCGAGTCTCATTATTTGGCCCATAGCATGTGTTATTACCTTGGGCGGAGCACATCCTGCTGCTCGGCCCAATCCTAATATTTTGGGCCCAAACACTTATAAAATGATTATAGGCTACTTTCCCTGCCAGTGATGAAATAGAAAGGGATGACAAGAATGGTCATCCATTAGGCCCTCAGGAAGGCAATGCAGCCGATGGCCTTTTAAAAACGAAGAGAGAGAGAGAGAGAGAGAGAGAGAGAGAGAGAGAGAGAGAGAGAGAGAGAGAGGGTATTTTCCCTTTGCCTTATGATTTATGGTTCAACTATATATAATGGATGTAAGCTTAATTTTTTTTTTTTTTTTATGTTTTCATATTTTTCTTCAATTTTACCTTTATTGAGAATCATCAAATTGAAATTTCAGTTTTAAGATTTTTGGAGGACTACAACATATCAAGTATGGAGGGAATTGATAGAAGCGATATGTCAGAGGTTGTTACCTTATCTGCATTATTCCTCTTTTGTACATATGATATGTTTTTTCTTCTTTTTCAAAAATAAAATAAAATTCATTATGTTTAGCAATTTCTCAATGTAGGTTGGCAATGAAGAAGTTGACTTTGGACAAACAAATGTTCACAATTTTCAACAGTCAGACCCAAGGTATCGTAGAAGTAATCAACAAAGGCAAAATCATAGGAGCAATCAACAAAGACAAAGACGACAACCTATGAATTCATCACAGCGGGCTCGAATTTCAATACGACGATGTGCCAATTATCAAACCCGCTTGAACTCAATCAATATAGTCCAAAATCAAACGGAAGTAAACCAAGAAAACATAGGACCGACATCTGCGGGTAACTATGATTTCTTATTTTTTTGTCTCTATTCAATTCGTACGTTGTTTAACATTTTTGTACAAATTATTAAGACAAATATATTAAGATTGAACAAATCAGTGATTCTAAGTTGTCATTGCCTTTTTGTACTATCAATGCAAACATCCATTTAATAATTCTGTTATGTCTATAATAATTTCAACATTTGGATTGTATATATTTACCATAGTGACCAACGTTTTAACAAGTACTCCAAACAAGAAAAATAAAAAAATAAATAAAAATAAATAAATAAATAAAAATTAAAAAAATAAATAAAAATAAACAAATAAGGAAAGGAATATTATGTAAACTTGGAATAACAGTTCAACTATAATAGTCAAGGGAAAAATATAAAAATAACATCACATAAAGATATAGTACATCGATACTAAATGGAAAAAATTGTGAAGTTAAACAAAAACATGCAGCACATAATTATACAGATGCAAAATCAAAGGAAGCAAAAAGCACAACCCAAATCAGAGAAATGAAATCATAAATCAATGATTCAGTGCATGAAATTCACTAGATTTTAGTAAACCCTAGATTCAGAGATATTGGCGTTGCATTCATTTCATCCGAAAACGGCAAGAAGAAAACCACTCTCATCCAAAAAAAATGAGTTTTTCTTTTTTGTGATCAATTAAAATAAACAATACTATTCATCCAAGGTCTGGCATCCAAAACAATCCACAGTTTTTGCTTTTCTGATCACTAAAATCTACAGACTTTAAAGAGAAAATAGCTCAAAATACAAAACATTCACTTTTTCTTTGTTTTCTTCTTCCTCTGCCACTTATTATGTGACCTAGGCAGTCTCAATCAAACGAAAATAAAAAAAAAACGTAATGTATACCAATGATTCAATTACAAAAACAAAAGGAACAAAAATACGTATGTAGGTACTTAAATAATATTCTATGCTTACTAATATTCTTCGTGCACCATTACGTTTCTTGGTTTAGAGCAACAAAATGCATATGTTACTGATGAGACACAAAGCCAACGAGAGCAATGGCGGGATCAACAACGTATGAGGCGGAATTCAATGAGTTCAAGCCAAAGACACGAATATTTAGCACGACGACGATCCAATTATCGTGTTCAACAAATTCAACGCTCAAACATAATGCTATTTGGTGGTGATGCTGATCAAGTTCAACACCCTAACATAGGGCAATTCGATGAAGGCAGTAGCAATCATGTTGAACGACTAAACATAGTGCCGTTTGGAGAAGGCAGCAGCAATCAAGTTCCAAGAACAATGCGCTTAACTCATATAAGGCAAATTGCCCGATCCAATAGGACACGCTTGCCTCGGGATGGACTAATACAAAGTTTCACTAATAATGGTAATCGCACAAACTACCATAGTACAACTTTGAAAAAGATAAACATCAATATCATCATTACTGTAAACACTACTTATTACCTTACTTCCATTTCATTTGATTATAACAGAAAATACAACAGCGCAATCGTTCAGTTCGAATACTCCAATGAGTCATTGTTATCTGCCCATCATCAATGAAGGTATCAGCTTTTGAATATTAATACCTACAATTTCAACTATGCTCTCTAAATCATGAAACACCTTTAATGTTTCCTTTTTAAGCAGATGATTTTAATCTCATTAATGAAAATGAGATCCAGCCTAACGAGGACGTACCACCTCGACATCATACTATGGGAAGAAGGCCAATTCATAATTGTGCTAGAAACTTTAATGAAAACATGGAAATCCCAAGATTTCACATGCCAAATCCAACCACATGTCCAGATTGTCATGCCCGTTTGTTCTCTCATGAAACATCTGAAATGTGTTGCTTACGTGGAAAGCTTGCTCTACCATTGGCACCGTCCCTTCCTGAAATGACTGAGCTTTTTTGCAACCAATCTGCCGAGGGAAGACATTTTAGGCAGAATATACGAGCTTACAACCACATTTTTGCCTTCACTTCAATGGGAGTTCATGTTGACGAAAACCTAGCAACTGGAAGACGTGGTATTTACACATTTCGTGCTCAAGGTTCCATATATCATAAGATTGGAAGTCTTTTGCCTATTAGAGATAGTAGACCGAGATTCCTACAAATGTATATATATGACACAGCTCATGAAATAGACAATCGAATGAGAGAAAGTGAAGCACTAAACAGAGGTGTGGTTGAAAAAATCCAACAAATCTTGAATCAATATAATCCATTTGTGCAAACATTTCACCACCTTGCGCAACGTCAAGATTTGCAAAGTTGTAGATTGATTATCAAAGAGCAGCCCGCGAATCAACGACAATATTGTTTACCATCTGCATCTCAGGTTGCTGCAATCATAGTAGGTGGTGAAGGATCAGAAAACATTAGAGGTCGAGATATTGTTGTGCAAACTACAGATGGTCAACTTAAGAGTATCAAAGACTGTGTCGGCTACTATGACCCTTTACAATATCCATTGTTGTTACCTTATGGAACATATGGATGGGATGTGAATACTCGAAATAACAACAGCAGAAAAGTGACATGTTGTGACTATTATTCGTATCTTCTTCAGGTAACCTAAGACCTTCATCTCTATGAATACAATATTAATTTTTAAAACTTATATTGTGTTGAACAATGAATTTTATCATTTTAGATCCGTCAACATGACGAATCGCTTCTACTTCGTGGTGGCCGCCTATTGCAACAATATGTAGTTGATAACTACGTCAAGATCGAATCACAAAAGCTTAGATGGATGCGTAATAATCAACACACAATTCGATCTGAATTTTATCGAGGACTGCAAGACTCATTAATTGCAGGACAAAATAATGCAGGTATGAAGCTAATCAGTTTATAATAAAACATATATTCTTTAAGTTCATGTTCTGTCACATTAAATGAGACTTATTAAAGGGTTGAAACAAAACAAACATATTTAGACTTATTAACGACTTATAACAAAACAAATACAGGAGACGTCGGTCGTCGTAGGACTATATTACCATCATCTTTTGTTGGTAGTCCCCGAGACATGTATCAAAGGTATCAAGATGCAATGACTTTGGTTCAAAAATATGGAAGACCAGACATTTTCCTAACAATGACATGTAATCCAACTTGGTAAGAAATAAGTGATGAGCTACTACCTGGCCAAACACCACAAGATCGACCAGATTTGCTTACAAGGGTTTTTCGTGCAAAATTTGAAGAGTTGAAGAATGATGTTATAAAAAAAGGTGTTTTAGGCAAAGTTCTTGCATATGTATATGTCATTGAGTTTCAAAAGCGCGGTCTCCCCCATGTTCACATGCTTCTCATGTTAGAAGAAAATGATAAGCTTAATAGTCCAGATGATTATGATCAGGTGGTACGGGCTGAAATACCAAATCCAAATGAAGAGCCTGAATTGTATGGTGCCGTCTTAAGGCATATGATACATGGTCCATGTGGAATACACAATTCACGATCACCCTGTATGAAACGTGGTAGCTGTAAACGAAATTATCCTAAGCCATTTGCACCAACTACAGTTCAAGGAAATGATTCTTATCCAGTTTATCGTAGAAGAGACAATCATGATCCAATCCCATTAGATCATAATGCACGTATAATGGTGGATAATCGGTGGGTCATTCCGTACAACTCATGGCTACTCCTCAGATATGATTGTCATATTAATGTTGAGATTTGTTGCAGCACTAAGAGTGTTAAGTATCTGTACAAATATGTTTACAAAGGTCCCGACCGAGTAGCTTTTGAAGTCCATCATGAACCTATTCAAGATGAAATAAAGCAGTTTGTTGATGCAAGATGGGTTTGTGCACCTGAAGCTTTATGGAGAATATTCAAATTTGTAACTAATCGACTTTATCCATCGGTGGAACGATTACAAATTCATCTTCCTGAAGGACAAACTATTCATTTTTACCTTCACCAAAGAGTAGCAGATATTTTGGCAGATGACACTAACTCGATGACTATGCTGACAGAGTTTTTTACCAAGAATACCACTTGCCCGGAAGCAAGACAATACTTATACCGGGAATTCCCTGAACGGTTCAAATGGAGTCAAAGAGATAAACTCTGGAGTGAGAGGATGAATAACCATAAAGTTATTGGCCGGATATATGCAGTCTCGCCGAATGAGGGTGAAAAATTCTACTTACGCATCCTTCTTAATCATGTTAGAGGACCAACATCATTTAAGAACTTAAGAACAGTCAATGACATTGTACAACCAACATTTAAGAAGGCAGTGGAACAACGAGGTTTGCTAGAAGATGATGATAGCATTAGACAGTGTCTCTGTGAAGCCACTAACATTCGCATGCCGTCAGCTTTGCGAAGGTTGTTTGTTACCATCTTAGTTTATTGTGAGCCACATGGAGTAAGAAGATTATGGGATGAATTTCATTCATTTATGGTGGAAGATTATTCTGTTTCAAGTACCACAAATAATACTTCTATCTTGAACAAGCTTTTGCAAGACTTGAACGGACTATTAGTGCAACATAGTAAGTCTGTATCTGATTACGATTTACCACAAATAACACAAGATTGTGTTAGAGACAACACAATTCCAAGGATAATACAAGATGAAGTTTCACTTGACATCTCTGAAGCAGACCTCAATGCGGTACAAAATCTAAATGAAGACCAAATGGCAGCGTATAACTTGATTGTGTCTGCTATTGAACAACGAGACAATGCCATATTTTTTGTGGATGGTCCCGGAGGGACAGGAAAGACATACTTATATCGTGTTTTGTTAGCAACCTTAAGGAGTAAGGGTCATATTATATTGGCAACAACAACATCTGGAATTGCAGCAACCATATTACCAGGTGGAAGGACAGCACACTCTAGATTTAAAATTCCCCTCAGTCCAGATGCATCTTCCACATGTTCTATTAGTATCCAGTCAGATTTGGCAGAATTGATAAGAAAAACATCAGCTGTTGTTTGGGATGAAGCACCAATGGCACACAGGTTTGCATTTGAGGCTCTCAATCGAACGTTCAAAGATATAATGGGCGTTGACCTACCATATGGAGGAAAGGTCATAATCTTTGGAGGAGATTTTCGACAAGTTCTTCCAGTTGTTCCAAAAGGTACAAGATCTAAATTGATGCAAGCAAGTATGATTAATGCTTCATTTTGGGAACACGTGAAAATCATTCGTCTTAGGCATAACATGAGATCCATCAATGACCAAGACTTTTCAGAGTTCTTACTTCATGTTGGTAATGGGGAACAAGAAACTATGATAGACGACATGATGCAATTACCATCATCTATGGTTATTCCATGGAATGGTGAAGAATCCATTGTCCAATTGGTTAATGAAGTTTTCCCCGATTTGGAATGTCATGTATGTGATGCAAGATACTTGGTGGAAAGAGCAATTATAACACCAAAAAATAAGGATGCTGACAAAATAAATAAAATGATCATCGATAAATTTCCGGGGATTGAACATATCTTATACTCTTTCGATTCAGTTGAGGACGATGTGAGAAATTTGTATCAACAAGAATTCTTGAATTCAATCTCACCTGGTGGAATGCCCCCTCATCAGTTAACTTTGAAAAAAGGTGCCCCGATAATGCTTTTGAGAAATATCGATCCGAAGATGGGGTTGTGCAATGGTACAAGACTGGCGTGCCATGGAGCTTACAATAATCTAATTGATGCCGAAATCTTATCTGGACAATTTGCTGGAACTAGAGTGTTTTTACCAAGAATCTCTTTAAAGACCACAGAAAGTGCAGGACTCCCATTCGAAATGATGAGAAAACAGTTTCCAGTGAAATTGAGTTTTGCACTAACTATAAATAAATCACAAGGGCAGACAATACCAAATGTGGGTATTTATCTACCAGATCACGTATTCAGTCATGGACAATTGTACGTGGCTTTATCAAGAGGAGTTTCAGCGTCTACAACAAAAGTCTTGGTAAAGAAAGGAGAGTTACACGGTAACGAAGGAGTCTTCACAAGAAATGTTGTGTACAAAGATATTTTGCTTCCCTCGAATTCAACATAAGGTTACATTCTTTCTTTTAATGTTTAATTCCCTTTTTCAACTTTTAATGCACTTCAATTACAAATAATGCTAATATTTGATTTTAACCAAACGCATTAAATTTTCAACAGTACGGAATGATATGAGTTCATTATATTTTTTGGTGTCATGTGCATCAAGGTCAATTAAATTTCTTGGATTGTTTTTATACTTTTTATTTAACTTTTAGTTGCAACTAAATTATAAGGATCTTCTCCGTTATTTATTACTTTTTTTTTTTTTACATATTCTAGACAAAATACTTTAGATTCCCCCTGTATTATTAGATATGATAATCGCCTTTATTTTATGTTTCTATACTTTGAACCAATCCTCGCATATAAATACATCTAAAATGTGTAAGTTGCGTGTAGCGTGCCGTGATTTAAAAAGTGTCTTTCACACGTGCTTGAGAACATCGTAATAGGCATTGCTGCGTGTGAGAGAGTATCCACGTCAACAACTTCAATTTATTGCTTCCAATTAGGAGCAGTCATCTTCTAGATTTCATACCTCACCTCCAAACTTGGTATCATACTTTCTAAAGCATATACATTGACAACCACAATGGAACAAAACTAACATAATACACATTTAGGGGCGCGTAGCGCCCGTGATGCAAAAATGCCTCTCGCACGCACGTTAGTGCGTGCAGAGAGACTAGTAAATAATTAAACACGTGGGCCTTTACTAGATACAATATATAATCTTAAAATACAAAAGAGAGAGAGGGGATGGGGCTGCTATTTTTTCCAAAAAAAATTTGGAGCTGCTATAAATACGACTGGTGCAACTCGTATGGTCACCGACACGTTCTTTATTCTTTCTTTCTTTTTTTCTTTCTTTCTCGTTTTCCTTGTGATGATGATGATGATTATGATGATTATCATCATCATAATAATAATAATAATAATAATAATAAAAAGAATAATGTTGTTCTCATATTCATTTTGATCTCTTACCCTCCTGATAATTTTTTGTCATCAATCTTTTTAATTTATTTGATCCGACTGTGAAAATCATGAAAAATATTTGAGAAATAAAAATGAGTGTTTAGATACACGATCCTAATAAAAGCAACCTCTTAGTCTATTTATTTCTCTCGGTTTTTCTCATCACGTAACTACTAAGAAAGGCTTATTATATTTGTGCTGTTCGATACAATTTACAAAAATTATGCTGAATTTTGTACACTCAATTTCGAATTTTCTTCTTCATAATTTAGAATAGATAATCATAAATATAATTATTCCATCGAGGGAGAACTTTACAAAAGTTATGTTGAATGCTGTACACTCAATTTTGAATTTTCTTTTTCATAATTTAGATAATCATAATTATAATTATTCTATCGAGGGAGAACTTGCCAATAAGTTTATTGAGGAAACGGATGCATAATTTTAAATTCGAATTTTGTTGTTCATCTTTTTGGGGGTGGTGGGATTGGAGCGTTTAACGTCTGCTACTTTTCAATGATTTCCACTATTTGAGCATTTAAGGATTCAAATATATAAGGCAAAAATCCAAATTTTCTATTCTTTTTCCAACCCCTTCTATTTTCTCAGTAACCAAACAGTGCAAAACCAAATTGAACACATAACCCCCCAAACTTTCCACGTACCCTATCATCATTACTTTGATGATTTTCTATTTTCTCAGTAACCAAACAGGGCAAAACCAAATTGAACGCATAACCCCCCAAACTTTCCACATACCCTTTCATCATTACTTTGATGATCTTATTACGTCTGTTGCTTAAATTAAAAAGAAAAAAAGATGAAGATCAAGAAAAATTATTTAAATAATTAACAAAAAATAAATAATTTACAAAACCCAGCTCAATTAATCATCTTCGTCCTTTTTTGAAGATGATGGTGAATTTCTGCAAAACTCAAAGCTATGATCCTCCATTTTCTCCACCACAAAATGCCCCAAACTACCCACAGCCTCCACCAAGTTCTCCCGGCAAAGAAACTCGTCGCTAAAAATCCTCTCAACCTCCCTCGAAAAATCATGAACAAAAACATGAGTTTTATCCCTACCGCCCCTCTTGCTCCGGGCCAAAACTCCAGCGGTGAAAATAGCCGACATCCGCCCCGGAGATGACGGAGAATACCCACGTGGGCCGTCGACCAGAATCACATCCCAAGGGACTTGATATATGTGGTTCGGCAAGTCGTTGATCCCGATCTTGCAGTCCGAGAACAACAAGTTCTGGACCGGCCGGCACTCGTTTTTGACCTGGGATTTGGTCGTTGACAGCAATTGTTTGTGGTCCTTGACTTGGGTCACGTACGACACGTCGTACGCCTCGACGCTGTGGTGGGAGTGGGCCTGCTCGAATCGGGAGACGAGGAACTCGCTCTCATCGACGAAAGCCGTGCGGCCGTTGAGGTTGAGCGTGTGGTAGAAGAGGGACTCGTGGGTGAGGCCGAAAACGAGGAAATTGCAGTTAGGTGCGCAGAGGCGGGTGAGGGCGGAGGCTATGGAGGTAAGTTCCGGCGGGGACATGTGGGGTGCTGACGAGGTGTTTGATGAGGAAATGGCGTAGTGAAGAAGTGCGTCGAGGACGGCGGGCGGGAGGGGGAGTACGGAGGTGGGCGTGAGGGAGGAGGTGGGGAGGGTTTGGGGGATGGTGGTGCTGATGAGAGTGAGGGTGAATGCGAGGGTAAAGAAGGTGAAGAAGAAGAGGAGCCACAGGCGGTGGCTTCCGCCGCTTGTGGTGGGTTTGTGGATTGCTTGGGGGTGGAGGAGGATGAGTTTTGTGTTTGTGCTGGCGGTGGTGGTGGCGGTGCTGTTGGTGGTTTTCATTTCCACAGAGAGAGAGAGAGAGAGAGATACTGCTCTTTGCTTTGTCTTTTTTAATTATCTTGGGATTTCTCTTTCATGGCTTCATAATTCATTTGCTTTCAAAGTTAGAGAGAGAGCGACAGAGAAATCGCGGAGGGGATTGAGTGGGACACGAATGCCAATGTGGGAACAGAACAGTTGAGCTTTTGAAGAGGTGGCGTCTCCTAATAAAGCCGGCTTCGGATCTCATCCGGATTTTATTTAGTTAATCGTGTATATCTTACTATTAAAAATTATTTTAAATTTTTTTATTTAAAATTAAATATAAATATTAACTAACAAAATCTAATTGTGAAGTTTCCTAAAATTCTGACAAAGAGAATTTGTAGAGAATCTTCCTCCATACAAGCAAGGGTGGAGGGACGTGCTTTGTGTTGTAAATTAAAGGGCAGAGGGGGTATTTTGTTAAAATAAAAGATGAAAAAGACTATGGTGCAAATATTTAATTGTTTGCTGGCCGGTCCGTTACCGAGGCTAAGGCTCGAAACAAAGAAACATCGATGTGGTACCGACTAAAACGGCCCGGGCGGTTGAGAGAGTAATGCTTATAAAAGTGAAGTAGTAGGCTAAAGTTTGTGACATGTTATACCATAGGTTGGACCATGAGTGGGTATTGCAAGCAGTCATTGTAGGCCAAAAGTTCATATTTTTGGGTTCCAATCAAGACAGTATTTTAGTGATGTAAATTAATTAGAATCCAACCAAATCTCGTTCACTAATGCACTAATGTTAAAGCATATATTCTTTGCTTAATTTTGTGGTATTTTGTTGGAGGAAAGGTGGTAAAAGTTGCCAAAGATGGATAGTGGATTCAACTTTTGGTAGGAAAAGATGTCCTTGACTAGGTTGAGTTATTTAAGGCAGGATTGGAAGTTGCATGGCAGTGACTTTGTGCTACAATCTTACCTTATTTTGAGTTTTGAGCTTAAAGTTTGAACAATATTGTTACATTAAATGTGTCTACATCTTTTGTATCTATGAAGTCCCATTTATGCTATCTTCAAATTTTGTGGTGAAAATCACTAGCGGAGCCAAAAATTTACAACGATGGGGTCAGGAGTATACTGTTGTGGCTCGCGCTCCAGAATTTGTGTCCAATAAGTGCCATCCACGGCTTATCCACTAGGCTAACGCCGGAGCAATAGGCACAATTTACTGAACAATTATGGAGGCCTTAGAAAGAGGGGTGCACCAATAGTAGAGTGAAAGAGAGAGATGTGTAATTGTGAGGTGTGTGTTATTCCACCCCATTGTGCATTTATTTATAGTAATAGGATAGGTAAAATCCTTAACCTTTTCGGATTACAACTCTTAATAGGTAATCAATTCCTAATAGGAATATAAGAGATATTCCTATATTCACTAGGATTTACACAATCACATTGCTAATCCAATAGGACTGCAACTCTCCCCCTTGAGCGTGTAAATACTCAACTAAATGGCGCATCAGGTCTTCAGGGATGAAGTAAGTACAGTTGATGAAGTCGTCAGCACAATGAGCAAATGTAAGTCTCAGATCAACAGAAAAATGCATAAAAGTTAAAACTCACAAAACCTCACTATGGTAAAACCCAAGGTGGGAGAAAAACCCATAGACTAAGGATTCATCAACCAAAACCCTAAATATTTATATGGTTCGCATTTTGGTTGGATTAGTCCACATATATTCCCTTGAATCCACTATGGAAAAGGGTGATTTCATATCTTTGCGAGGAATAATATAGAAAATCAATTTCCCTAATAAGTAGGCTTGGCAAAGTGTGCTTGTAGGCACAAGATCCTTATTTCAGGTAATGAGATACATTGTAGCATCATTGTTTGACCTAAGTGTCCTAAATAGTCGTGCGAAAGTAAGTACACTGCTCAATCACCAGGCTCTGGGCCAACCATATGTGGTGTGTCCCCAGTTGGGAGACAACCTATTGGCCCCAAATCAAAGCTTCAGGCTCATTTTTGCAGGTAATGCAAAGACATTTCACTCTATTTTCTTTAGTGGTTTCATTCATGATCATTGCCATCTCGAATATCCTTAAGAAAACTCAACGATTCCGGAACGGATAGAGTTTACTAAGGGAATTTGGCCAACAAGGCCATCCAAGTCAAAATTCTGCTCTTCCAACGATGTTTGGTGG